GCCAACCACAATTGACAGCGCGCCCATTGCCGGTCGCTCTGATCCTGCACATCAAAGCAACCGCCCGCCCGCGCGCCCCATCCCATCGACGTCGTCATCTACGCAGGTTTCTCGTAATGTGCGTGCAAGATGAATTTTCGGCACCGTGGGTGTGGCTTATTTTAAAGCAATTAAACCATAGTGAAGCGTGTCTTCTCGGATAGAGACCGAGTGCTCGGCGGCACGGTGATCTACGAGGACACTTTTAACCATTGTGCCTCATCTGGCTTTCATCTGTGCCGCTAACTGAGGGCGTAACTAACAATTCGTTTTGTGCTCGGAGTTGATTAGTTGCTGCGCAAAAGAGATTTCAAATCTATTTTAATTACTGAGAAGAAAGAGTTTGACAAGGTTAGATTTGATGTGGCAAGGTGTGGCAAAAGATCTATAGATGATCCTCAGCTCGCAAGGCAACAGCTCTTACCATGGAGTATGCATTTGATCAAATATTTCATCATAGTTTTACTTACAAAGTCATTTACTCGAATTGTTGTCAATTTGCATTATTTAAATATAACCGCCGAATGTTAATAACAGGAAAAAAAAAATCCTTCGCATAGCTAAATCCTAAATGTAAATTAACAGCGGGGAATAAATGGCAGCTGGGTAATTTTACTTTTTTTACAGCTAACGCGTTTCAAATTGCCCTTAGCAAAGGTTTGTGCATTGGCTGTATAACATGACATATTTGCATACAAATATAACAGTTTCCAGCCGAAGAGTATGCAACAATTTAACGTAAATATAACTTTGCAAGTTCGTTAACTGAGCTAAATCCGTTAGACAGCTGACTGTTGTTAAAAGCGTTTCGTTGAATCTTGCCGTAAGGCTAACAAAGTTTCAAGCCGTAGCTAGCAGAGTTTGAGCCCTGGCTATATAACAGTTTTTCCCTGGCAAATTAGGTCTAAATAAAGGACCGAAATTAGGGTCAAAAGGGAAATGGGCACAGGAAATATTGTAATTAAAAGTACTTATAATGCCTACAGGTACTTATACGTAAAGTCAATAATTTCCCGTGAAGCTGATTTATCAATAGTTTAACAGCGGTCAACAGCAGAAATGTTAAAGTTCATAGTTTTTTCTGTTAAGCGAACTGAACTCAGCTGAACCGAATTAATGGAGCATTTGGGTTTCCTGGAACCTGTTCGTTGTGCGTTACGCCGTAGATTGAAATCAGTTTCCATTGTAGAGATACTTAGCACTAAGTGCAGTTGATGTCTGCCGTCTAACGTCTGCTGTCGGCGAGCAAATACGTTGTAAGTACCCAGTTCAAGGCACATCATAGTTCATATGCCAGATGGGCGGGCTTTCAGGCTTTATTTGGGGGGGGCGGGGCGCACTGTGCGCGACTAAGCCGTATCATTTATCATGCCTGGCATCGCAACGCATCGCCTCGCATCGCATATCTTTATAGCGCTCGACCATGCATTATGCTTCAGTGACAACAATAACCACTTGAGAGCCAAACAAACCCAAGTCAAATACTTGGCCCAAACAATCGAACAGCACGAGTGCGTGGGAGCAGAGCACAGCTAAACTGGGCGGGGTTGGGCCTTGGTCTGGGCCTGGGATTGAGCTGAACTCAACTGAACTGAACTGATCTGAGTTGTGGGCTGCAGGGACATGTCAAGGGTTAGTTTGAGCTGTTTTAGCCAAAGTGTTCGCTTTATACGCATATTTTGCCATTTCATATTCAGAGTCAACTTTTAGTTTTGCTGGATTAGAAACACAGCGAGAGAGAGAGAGAGAGACAGAGAGAGTGGGAGAGGAAGAGGTATAAAGATTTGTTGCCTTCGCAAATGTTTTGGTGCGAAATGTTGTTGGCTTATTTGTTTAGCTGCATGTTTTATTAATGCATTTGCCAAAAATGCCAGTGAATATATCATAAATTATTATCAACCTTTTAAGTGTCGCGCTTTTGTCGAATATGTGCATTTATTTGATATCACGCATACGCAACGCGGGCCCGGCAACACCAACATATCTCTAGTTGAAAACCAAACTGATATTAATTTATAATATTACCGATAATTTGGACAAATTGCGGTCGCAATTACAATAATACAACTACAGCAGCATGCCAGCATCCCCATGGAGTTGCTGCATTGCCTGCTCTAGAGATACTCTACAAAGGGTGTATCTAGCTATGCATATATATAGCGACATCGTTTACTTGTCAAGTTAACTAACCAAATAATACATGTATTACAGTTTGCTTAGCTTTTCTCTGACAGCTTTTGCTTGGAATAACTTAAGCTTAAGCTTACTTGTACAGGGTATCTTGTAGTCTGGCAGCTAGTGCGTGCTTTTATGGTGTTTGCCATGGCAATTGTTGCCAGAATTTATTTGTATTGTCGACCTAGGGAAAACAATTACTTTGGAATGGAGTGCAAATATGCCAGCTGAAATATTTGTTTAAATTTTCGAGTGCTGTTGTTCGTTAGTTTCCGTTTCCAAAACTGCAGATGCACTGCTCCACTGCGCCACTCCCCCATCCTCACTTCTCTCCACCTCACTTGCCCCTTTTCTGTGTGCAAATGCCGCTTTTTGCCCACTTGCCGCAGCGCAGCACCCAAAAGTTGCGCTCATACAATAGGATTGGGCCAATAAGTGACCCACACACACGCACACACGCACACAGGCACACACATTGAGAACGCCCTGAATGCCGCAGCATTGTTAAATTTTGGTTGGTTGCAAAGTGATTTACGCAATTAAAATAATTTCATTCAAATGGTCCATAATTCAACTGGCATTTCATGCGGCTCTGCAGCGGCCACTCTAGAGTTTGTTCAGCCGCCATGCGACCGAACACGCCCCCAAAAACACGAACAGTCCTTGACACACACAGACGCACACGGACCATAAATCCGCTGTAAAAATGCATACAAAACTATTAGAAATTCGTAGATTAACGCATCGGGCCTTTTTATCATTTGCTGCGCTACGCGAAAGCTTATTAGTTTCTCTTTGAATGAGGGCCTTTCGATAGCCTCTTAAATAGGTGAAAAGTGAACTTACGGGTAGTATAGCAACTACACACCATAAAAAGCTACCATGTTCGCTTTAAATGTCTTAAATACTTGCGGATCCTGGTGAGTCCATTGTCAAACAAGTTGCGTGGACCTAAGTTCTCGTCGCTCTGGCTGTTGCTGAAATATTCAAATTTTTGTGTTTGACTGTTTCCTTGCGGCTCGCGACTGAAATTTAACGTGTTGGATGCTCAGGTAATTCTTTTTTTAAGAACATTGTATAGTTCCGTATTGAACAAATGGGATTTCTGAGAGGTCATACAAGTCCAGCCTCTTTAGCTTATCTCTAGCAGGCGCATTTTATTCGCTTTTGCTGCTAATATTACAGGTCATATTACAGGTCATAAATGAATATTACAGGTCATAAATGAATTTGTTGCCAAACTAAATGCCAGATCTAGGGCTCAGGTTGTCATGTGTAAGTGCTTTAAGAGTTAGGCTAAAACATTTCTGCGTGCTAGTCACGGCTGCTCTCAAATCAATATCGAGACAGCTGCGACTGCTGCTGGGCAACAAATGTGTCTAATGCCGGGGCATTAAATAATTTCTATCGGCCCAAATTACATGCTGCTGTCCAGGCCCATGGGGAAGCGCAAGGACAACAACAACAGGCCACGCCCAGCGCTGCGACGGTTGCTTGGGCAACCACACACAAAAAAAAAGAAAAACCAAAAAATTTGCATAAGCAGCGCGCAGCATTTGGAAGTCAAGCGAGCGTATAAATATTTTTATGCCAACGCAGTCACAAAAATGTCCGACCGCCAACTGATCCTGAAACTGGAGCAAGTTTTATATGCCCCATTGGCGAGCGGTTTGCATGTGGCCATTTTGTGGCTAGCTCGATTATTTTGGACGCGGACACGCATGAGGATTAGCGCCGCTTTGTGGCGCATTTTAATAGAATTACACAATTGCAGAATTGTGCGTTGTCAATTGTTGTTACACTTTAATTTAACATTTTTTATATCCGTTTGTCGCATCCTCTGCTTTGCGTGGGTGTGCGTGTGTGTGTGTGTTTTAATTAATGAGCCATTTCCATTGGTATTCTAGTTTTGTTGTTGCTCTGTCAAGGCTCACAGCGGATGGACCTTTGCGAGAGACTGTTTTGTTTGCAATACTCTTTTGCCATGGGCTACAATAGCTGTGGCTGTTGGCTTTGCTGCGAAGAAACCACTCGCACTGAAGTCAAGCAGTGGCAAGCAGTGCAGGCGGATATTGTGCTGGCTGTAAGCAGTTTATGTAGCATTTCCTTTCTGCGCCCTTTTCCAGCACTTATTTATTAATTATCAATTTAGGTTTTCTTAAAGTTTATTTTTACTTACTTTGAGAGACAAAGCCGAAGCGCATTCTGAAATAAATCTATGAGAAAGCCCAAAAGCCATTCTTACGAAAATTCGTTTTAAAAAATGTTGCTCAAAATCTGTAAAAATAATTTGAGTACGTAAATAAAAGGGCATTTTATTCTCAAAATTAATAGGTAAAAGAGCATGTAATATTTGGGCTCGGCCATGAAATTGATACCTTAGTTTCATGTTTAAGCCCTTTCGATTTATCTGCTGACCCAGTTTTTCAAAGTGCCCAACTGCCATGTTGCCGGCTGTTTGGGCGAGAGGACCCTGCTTCGATCTGCCTGGTTGTTGCTGTCTATAATCCCGAGATTACATGTGACACACGCATACGTTGCAGCTTATTTTTCATTTCTTCGGCTGTCGTTGCCTATTTTCTAGGTGGGCAAGCAGGCGGGCAGGGTATTATGCCAGCTGCTGCTGCTGCTGCTGCTGCTGCTGCATTGTATTGTAGTTTGCATAAATAATTGAACAGCTTATGTCAAAAGAAATGAAAGTCGCAAATCGCACGAGTTGCACCAAATCGTAAAGTTATCAAAACACGTAACTGCCTTCTTTTTCTTTTAAATAAAAAAATGTTTAATTGTGTTTCATTTTGCACTATTTAATGTACATATTTGCATTTGTTGATGTTGTTTTTGCAGTGGCACGACGTGCACACGCTCAATTTATGTTTTTTACTGACAAATGCTTTGTTTTTTTCTTTTTGTGTCTTTTATACTGGCGACAATTTCAAATGGCTTTTGTTTTTGTTGTTGCTTCTATGAGTTCTGTTATTGTTGTAATGCTTTGCTAAGTCTTCTATATTATGTCATGCTTACGCGTGTGCTCATTTGTTTTTGTTTTTGTTTTTGTTTTCGTTATCGATTTTGACCGTCCAATTATACATAGTATTACACTATATTATTATAATACATATTTGGACTAGCTTTTAATTAACTGTTCTTTTAATTTATTTGTATTTGAATTCAACAGTTAAAAGTACTCGTTATTTTTGTTTAGCTTCCTTTCATACAATTTTCAATTGCTTTATTCAAGCGCATAACTATGCCATGATGTTGTTTTAATATAATATGGTATTTTAAATATGCAGCTTATGTGGATAATTTGGATTACACGCACACACGCACACACTTACACACTCGCACACACTCGCACATTCAAGGTTCCAAAAGTTGCACTAATTAACTTTAATGTACAGGAATTCATTTTGTCTGATGACCTACAATAAAAGTGTAATTAATATGCTGTGTTTAAATAGTTGCTATCAAACCTTTTTAGGCTTCAACATAACCAATTGGCTGGCATTTGCTATTCCATACACTTATACCCTATACGTATGTATATATATATATATAGAGTATATATATAAAGGTTATAAACAGTTTACATTTTGATTGATTAGGTGAGTTGTTTGTGTTTTGTTGGGTAATTATGCGCCTTACACCTGAAGAATAAAGGAAGTTTTTTGATTTTCGCGTAAAACCGAATGTCAAAGGCAAAGGTTGCATGAAAGTAGTGCACCTTATTGTGGCCAACATATCATTTTATAATCTTATTTTATATTGCAATCAAGCAGACATATGCATACTTATGTCAGCTATAGTTATGTGACTAACATTAACTTATGTTGATTGGAATGGGACAAACTGTTATTGTTAATATCGTTAATATTAATATAATAATTATTATTACGGCTATTATATTTGCCTGCATTGCAGCAACAATATTGATTGCAAATTATAACGTGGCCTTAGATTAAATTTAATTATAATTTAATTGTAGTTCAATTTGCATCACGACGTGCAGCCACAGCCTCAGCCACCTATTTTCAATTACATTACCAATTTTGATAACTTTATAGCCAATAATTGAGCTATATTTGTGTTTGTGTGTAACAAATAAAAGTTAGCAAAAATTCTGAATTTTTTTCTATGGCAATTGATTAAAATGTATGCGGCATTTATGTGGCGTGTCAACAGAATTTTTATTGAGTTAGCAATTTGCATTGTCCAGTGCCAAATGCAAATTCCAACATCAAGTGGCTTCAAATTAAATTAATTTATAGAATTCACAGTCAAACAGAATCAAATGGCAAACATAAAAATATATTTATTAAACTCATCCAAATATAATTAAAAACATGGAAGAAAGGCTATCTTCGGCCTGCCGAAGAATTAATACACTTTATGACATATTCCCTTTGTAGATATGTGAGAATAGTGCAGCTTGAAAATGCTGAGCTTGTTGAAAACAGAATATTTTGGGATCCTTTAGGATCAACCGATCTTTCCTATAGTAGATAAGACCTCACATATGCATGAGAATCATAATGGAACATAAAACTGAGAGACATCGAAACAGAAACATGGCGACATAAGCTCGGCCGTTGTTGCTAATCTAGAATATATACACTTTATGGTGTCGGAGATGACTTCTTCTATGCGTTACACATTTCATAACAAATTTATAATATCCTCTACAAGGGTATACAAACATAAGTTCGAATCAAGTCAAATGAAACGCAATTAAAGCTGTTATTTCTGATGCCTGCAATAATAAAATAAATAAATATTATATTTTTTTAAAAATATGTTCAGATAACGCAGCTTAATACGATTAACAAATATTTAAACAGTAATCAAGAGCAGCTTTAAAATAAATATATAAAGCACAACATGATAAGTTGAGGGCATAATTTGATATTTGCCAGGTCTTTCCAGCTTTTTTCCAAGCAGGTGTGCTCTATATCTTACTATTTGTCATATCGATATACCAAATTAAATGGCATTCAATGATTTACAAGATATAAATATGAGCATACCATAGGAGCTGGTGTGGAAAAAATGCGCTGAGCAAATATTTGCATTATATGGAAATTAATTTAAATATTTGATGGCCACTCAATCTGTGAGTGTTATTTCTGCTGTGGCTGCCACGTTTTTTTATCTAATTATTTAAAGCGCCTCGCTCGCTTCGCTTTTATGTATTTCCTTTTTTTTTTCACTATTTGTATTTTATGTGTCTTTTTTTTTCTTTTTAATTTTTGTTTGCTTATTTGCTGTTGTGTGATACATTTGATATTGCAATTACGTTAATAAGTTTACGTTAGTTATTTACACGCTGCTTAAACTATACAAAATACACATTAAATGTTAATTCATTTGCCTATGTAGGGGGCGGGGCGGGGGGATGCGAGGGAACATTTTCGCTAGGAGTGCGCCAGCATCTACTTAAGAGTTGTACACATATGAATTGCTAGTTTAGAACTGGCAACAGGACTTGACCAATGACTAAATATGCCGCTATTTAGCTAGCCGTGAAAGTCATACCATATGCACTTACAGATACAGATACAAATACAGTTACAGATACATACACATTGAGATATATAGATACATACACATTGTGGATACATTGGCGCACACATTTCATGTGGCTGCTTAGTTCGCGTTGTTAAGTCCGGCTGCGAGCGATCATCTGTGGCAGCAGCGTTTAGCCTGGGCGTAGGAATGGGCGTGGCACGCCTGTCGACTGTTGCTGCTGCTGCGGTTAACCGCTGTCGACGCTTCAAGGCCGCCGCCAGCAGCAGCACGTTTCGCAGCTGCTGTTGCCGCTGCTGCTGCTGATGATGTTGTTGTTCCTCGAATGTCACTTTCACTGGCCGCGAGCGTGACGTCTCGGCTGCGAGTGCCCCATGTGGCGAGTGTGGCACAATGTTGCTGCTGCCGCTGACTGTAACCGAGCACCAGGCCCAGCAGCATGACAATTGTCAGCCAATTGTACTGGCAACCGGATGAGCCAGTTTGCATTGCCTCCGGATGTTCACCTGAAATTATGGCCCGAACTAATTTCAACTTTATTGCATTGTCTTGAGCTTAGATATTAAATTTGTACTTGAACAATAAGCAACTAAATAATTGTGAGTTTGCTTCACTATCTCTGTGTGTGTGCGTGTGTGTGTGGATGTGGCTGTGTTTGTGTGTGGCAAGTTGGCTGCCAACTGAAGTAGTTGTTCTTGTTGCTGCTTGTCTCTTTATTTGTTGCGCTCTGTTTGGCTTTTGCACATACAAGTGTTTATTTGTAGCCGTCTGTGTGTGCGTGTGTGCATAACATATAAATGTTTAATTAATGTGCAGCTTCTGTTTGCCCAGTTGCCACAGTTGCCCCGAAAGTGCCGACATTTGATTTGCCGTCAGCTGTCAGTTCGTGTGCTTGCGACATTTAAATGCAAATGGCAGCAAAGCAAATGATTAGCTAATTTGTGACGAATTTTGTAATTTAAATAAATTAAATCTATTAAATTTCACAATAATATTTCCATTTATGCCGAAACAATAAAATATCCGCAACGCCTGTAAATATGCAACAGCATAAAATTAATTGGCGTTATTAAGTGGGGTGTTAACACACACACGCACACTCGATGCGTGTGCATGCGATGTGTGTGGTCCTTTTAAACAAAAAACTGTTGCCCACGGGAGCCAACGCCTTGCCTCTTCTCCTCTCTCACACTCTTTCACACACACGCACATATCGCGTGGCTTTGTGTGTGTGCTGGTAATTGATTGAGTTCAATTTTTCAAGCAATTAACTTGTGCACTTGAAACTCAATACAATGTGCAAACAAACAGCACTCGGCAGCCCTCGGCCCGCGGCTCAGCTCGGCTAGCCGATGACGCAACACGCGGCGTATGCGCAATGTCGCAGCTGATTCAGCGGCAACTGCTGCACGTTACATGAGACGATCGTATTAGCTAAAGTTGGATTGAATTCAATATAAACAAGCTGAGTTGATAGAAACGCTCTGATATAACTGCGTATGTCCTTGTGCTGAAAGCACGCAAAGGCGTGTACTTCCAGTGCTGCCAACCCCAGCCAGCCGCAGGCTTCTATTTGAGTTGGTTTTTTTTCTTTTTCCAAATGTTGCGGCTCGAGCTGCGCAGCAGCTGCTTAATAAATTTCTAGCCGCAGCGTTGAAAATAAACATATTACGCATACGCAACGTGGGCGGCCTGTGGCCGAGAGGTGTGAGCTGGGGCAAATGTAACAATGTATTTGTTGACAGGACTGGAATTATTAATAACGTACGTGGCGCACATAATTCATCATCAGAGCAGACACAAGGCCACAGAATCCGGATTGCCCTTAGCTGCGCATATCTAAAATATCTTTGGGCTGCGGCTGTGAAAACACAAGTCACAAGCCGGCTAAGCCAAATAAAAGCGCATAAACTGGAGAGCGAGAGGGAGATAGATAGAGCAAAAAAAAAAATAAAGTAAGAGCCAAGTAAAATATGCAAAATTAGCGCTGATGGATTTTCAGGAAGGAAGCCAGGGCATGCAAAGGCGGCAGGAAGGAGCTAAGCAAGTAGCTAGCTTCAGACACAGACAATAGCACGCACACGAAGGATGCAGGACGAAGGACGAAGGACGTGCCGGCAACAGGAGCAGCAGCAGCAACAGCAGCAGCAACAGCAGCCAACAGTTGCAATGCACGTTATTTTTTGAGTGTTTTTATGAGGAGCTTTGCATACTTTGGCAGTATTTTTACATTTTATAGCGCGTTTTGTTTGTGCAGTCGCCGGATGAAGACGAGTAATGTTTGACGGCTGAGAGAACGCTCTTTAAGTGCATCTCAAGTGTGACACAAAGCGCCGATTTAGCCTGATTTGGCTTAAGTGGGCATTCAATTAGCATATCTCTATATATACTTATATATATGCTAATCAATGCTGATTCACAAATTATTCGCACTCAGACTGTGCTGCAGGTCTGCTCTTTGTGTGTGTGTGTGTGTGTGTTTGTGCAATTATTTCCAAGTGCGTCTCGCACTTATAATTGTAAAAACATTTCACAGTTCATTTGTGCTTCCGCTTCGTGCTCCATCGCACACTTATTGTTAAATAATTACCATTATCAAGTGCAAGTAAGTGCGAAATAGCTAAAATGTTGATTGCCATTAAATTGTGATTTGACAGAAATTTCTCCAGAGTTTTTCGCCCGCGTCACGTCTCGTGTTGTGACTTGTAAATTAAGTCAAATACGAGCAATATGGTCAATGAAGCGAATTCGTGGCCCGTACCACTGCTTTACACTGGTTAACAAAACAAGGGGCCCAAATAACGAATTGCATTATTAGCATGTAAGTGTGACGATGTTTCTGTGTGGCCGTCTATACTTCTTCTGCCCTTAGTGTGACAGTATTTGGCAAAATATTTCGCAACCGTGTCTGATTTTATGTTTAACCCTGCCCGCATATATTTATTCGACTGCATGCCAGTGTAATCCGTGTGTTTTCTGTGATCGGCTGCCCCGATGCGCGCCTCTATTGTTTAACTTTGCGTGCTTTTCAATTATGCATTAAACTACCGCTTATATTACAGTTGCCATAAAAACTATTTGCAGCTGCTGTTACTGGCCCCACCGTCTACGGCTGCCACTGTTTGACACCGTGCACATCCGGCTTGAGCTTGATAAGCATTTTACCACTTTTATCGCAGCACATGCAATACCCAGCAGGGGCCCAGGCTGCGAGGGTTTGCAACGCCTGCTGAGGTGCATACCGCTCAAAGCTGGACGCTTTTTATTTTCTACTTTGCTGCGAGTTTATAAATAAAATGTGCATATGCGACACTCGCGCACGCAATGGCAATGGCTGCCGTGGCAGGGCAGCAAGGCGGCAGGGCATGGAAAATACCAGCGTGCGAACAAAAACCGGAAGCCATGCATCGCAGTCAGCGTCCTTCGAGCTCCCCGTGCCTGTCCACATTCACATCCACATGCACGTTCATATCCTCCACCTCCTGCTCCTCCTCCTTCTCCTCTGCGTCCTTGTCCTTGTCCACGTCCTGTTATTGTTTTTGCCACACGTCGCGGTTGGTAAAGTTGCGCCTGGCATTTCGGGCTTGTTTTTCATTCTACGCTGACATTTACTTCGCTGTCATTAATTTTAAGCTGCATGCTTCTGGGCTCTGCCCAAATTGCGAGCACTCGCACTCGCACTCGCCTGCCTTCGAGTCATTCGGCTGCCCAACTTGCAACACTTTTTGCCAATATCCATTAAAATCTACCTATTAAAAATATATCGCTCGTATATCTTGCATGGCATACATTCCTCTAATGAGGTGTAACAGTCAAGATAGTAACAATTTGTGTGGTATTCTTCATCACAGGCAAAACAAAATGTATCGAGAAGTCTTCATTTCTACCTGCCTGCAGCTTAATTGAGGTAAAATCGTGCTGCCTAAAGTGTTAGGCACTTTTATCTTTGCAAAATAAAGTTAAGCTTCACAGCTCATCGGCCGCTTTCGGCCAGGCTGTCTCTTATGCTTAAAAAGCAATTGAAAAGTTTTGATTTTCATTTAATTTCAATTCTTTTCAGTTTTGTTGCTGTTAAATTTTGTTTGGATTTTATTTTTGGCACAAAACTATTTGCCAAGTTTTGCATTTAATGCGCAAATACGCATTATGCTCCTCTCCTTATCCAACTATCTATCTAACTGTCTATCTCTACGCCTGTCTGTTTGTCCGCCCGTTTGTTTGTCCCTTTCTCCCTCCGTTGTCTGTCGGTTTGTTTGTTTGTTTGTTCGTGTATCAGTGTCTTCGTGAGTATCTCTTCTGCAGTCCCCGACATTTGTCTGCCTGTAATACTATCTTCTAACAATATTGTCGTTGCTCGTTTGTAGCTAAATTTCGTTTCGTTTCGTTTTGTTGCAAAACTTTTTGTTGCCCTGCCTGAAATAATAATTGAATGTCACTTCAACGACAAGTTGGGCCCCCGGTCGAACTTCCCCTCTTTGTTTGAAATCTCCCTCTGACCACCCGCCCATTTGAAAAGTAGCAACAATTTTGTCAAAGTGACAAAATGGCGTTTCGAGCCAAAAAATTGAAACTTGCTTTTGCATGGCTTAGCCAAGTTTCTAGATTTGTGTATGTATGTGTGACTGTGTGTGTGAGTGTGTGTGGATGCTGCTGTCGTACTTTATCAGCGGTTTTGCTGGCTTTTGCTGGGCTTACAAGAATCTGGGCCGAAAATTTGAATTGAATTTTGAGCAGCTCAAGAGGAATTTTTAATTGAGAGCCGTGGCCAAAAACGAATGCACACTGCAAGTCTTAGCACTTTGGTGAGCTTCTGGGGCAGACCGCAAAAATAGTTTCGTTAGTTTTTGAAGCCGCTCTAACACCGCATCCCCCCTCCAATCCACAATTTAAGCCAAAAAACCAGAGCCCAGCAACAGCCACATTTGAAGTCCCTGAAAGCGACTCATATAAATCACGAATGAATTAAGTGTGGTTATGTTCTTGTTGTTATTACTGCTGGCCAGCTCTATTTGCCATCTCTCTCACAGTCTCTCTCGCTCTCTCTCTCTCTATCGCTGTATATGTGTCTATATCTAGTTCTATTTATCTGTAGGTTTGCCTTTAGCGCGTTTCATTTTCGTTGCCGTTTTTCTCTCTATTTTTATTTGCTGTCTTTTGATAAACTTGAGACGTGCGGCGACTGAGCTCGTTTAATGCGTGTGGCTAGTGTGTGGGTGTGTGTGAGTGTGTGTGTGTGTGAGTGTGTGTGTGTGTGCGTGGTTTACTGTTTGTATAAGTCAAACCCACACTGAGATTGAGAATGAGCCCAATACATTGACAGAGAGCTGAACCGCTTCTCATTTCACTCATTGCGGTCAAGGCGCCTTTGACGTTGTCCTGTCTCTCTGTCTCTATGTCTCTCTGTCCGTCTGTTTGGCTACTTGAATGCTTTATTTGCACGTGTTGACTTACCAAGCGACTCACCGACACACACATGTGTACATCAACACTTGGGATTAGCTGGCCAAAAAGGCCTTGCTGCTCAGCCAAGCACAAAGTCTTGCCAAATGGGGATTACCAAACAAATTGCGCTGCTAATGTGACGCACTCTGCTAGCAAATTTGCGCTAAGGAGGGGGAAAATCGAAAGAGTCTTGCATACTTTTTGAATGGCTAACAAATGTAAAGTTTCCATTATGTGTAAAGAAATTAATTGACGCCCACACAATTTGGCAAGTGCTCGCCCTTGCCACCGTCTGCTGACATACGTGTAGCATTGATGCACATACTTGGGTTTTCTAGCGCATGTCCTTGGCAACGCCTTCGAAAGCAAAAGTTTGTCTATGCTATTCGACTGTGTGTCTGCGAGCGAGTGTGTGTGTGTTGACCTATCAGTTTACGTGCCATTTAGCACTCAATTAAATTCGTACGGCACAAACACACACGCAGCACATTTGAGCAAATGTGTGCTCATCAGTAAGGAAGAAAGCAAAAGAAGCAACAAGGAGCGGCAAAGTGTGGCCAGAAGTTGCTTTATTCGAGAACCAGTTGCTGGTTGTGGCTATTAATCAAAGCACTAAGCATTTGCTGAAAGCAATTTATTTCGTTATCGAGCGGATTTGCGCACACAGAAGCAAAGGAATCGTGCAAAAAAGGGCCACAAGAAATGGACATATAGTTGCATTTTACTTGTCAGCACGAGCCTGCAAATTTCTACATGAGAATTATGTACACTTATTAAAAGTATGCATTACTTATATTTATATTGATCTGCAGGCCAAATATTTTATTTAAATTATCTGTGCTGACAGCTGCTGCCTGCTGCTTCCTTATTCCTGTCTGCTGCCTGGCAGCCAGCTGCAAAGATTTCTAATTTGGAGAGCAAATAAATGAGTTTCGTTCGGATTTCAATTAGTTTTGCTGGCTGGCAAGTGCTCAAAGGGTTCGACACCAACCCTTCCAATACTTCAACACTTTCCTGCTGATTTATCTAACGAATTTTATCAAAGCACTGCAGACGCGCACTCACTGGCTTCCAACTCGTTGCCTCGCAAAGCAAAGCCCTCTTACTCTACACTTCAGCAGCAACAGCAACAGCAAAAAAAAAAAAAAAACACTCATACGCAGTGTGATGCGCTTGAGGATTTTGAATTAGTTTTTTGATGTTTGACGCCTGATTAAACAGCCGCCCAGCCTCTGACAAGATTACATTACCAGCCGCCTTTCACAGACTAGACGTAATTTTGCCATTCGATTTGGTGCAGTGCGGCTAGGCCCATTACGTGGCCAGGCAATTGGATTATGTTGCTGGCCTATGTCAAGCTTATTGACTGACTGATTGACTGACTCGGTGCTTAAATGATTGCCAAATCAGGCAAAAGTGCACTTAGCGTCAAGTTAGCTTTCAACTCGAAAGCCCAACCAGAGTAAATTGTATTACATGCAATTAAGTTGTTTTCGCTTTAAAAACAAAAGTTGTGCGCAAACAAATTCAAATTGACAGACAGCCTTTCAGATTTTTAATTAAATGCGTTTTATTGAAAAACTGCAAATCGGATACGAATCTCATGTATTATAACTATCTCAAGTTATGGTTTCAAAAGCTTTTCCTTGGCTTGATTTCTTAGCACTTTAGCTTCGGTGAATAAAGAAATAAGACTCGAGATGAATGCAACAAGTGTATCAAATAAAATGCACATTTTTCTCTCTACCAAAGAAAAGAACTGGCAATTCTATAGAAAAAGCTTCATGTGAAATTTCATTATATTGCTAACAAATACTGTGAATGCCTTTTTGAAACTAATTAAATGAATGCATTTTAGCAAAGAATAAACAAAAGTTTCAGAATTGTTTGTTGTTTGTTGTAGCCAGGAGAGGCAAAGGCAAATATTTTCAAGATAAAAAACTGCATATTTCGCACTGAAGAGCTTAGCTTAAAGAACATCTATATCGCACACATTTATAACAATTTCATGTGCACGCGCCTTGGGATAGTCCGGTCCATATCAAAATGTTAGTTAAAGTTTATGCTGTCAATGTGCTAAACATTGCAACCAGAAACGGTGACAATTTTTGGGGCCAAGAACTTTGGCATGGCCATAACAATATGTTGCGGGTGTGTGTGTGTGTGTATGAGGGGGTGTGTTTGTGGCAAAGTTGCCAAACTAAGCGTGTATGCGTCGCATACCTCGTGTGAAACAAGCTGCAGTTTTACCTGTGCAGCTGCCTCAAGTGCTGTATAAGTAGTGCTGTATGCTTCGTGTCCTCCCAGCTCTATCTATCTACATGTGTGAGTACGCGTTTAGTTACAGCATTTTGTGGTTAGTAAAACATTGCAGCTTCAGCTCAGCTTACACACACACATACACATAGATACACAGACATTGCCAACTAACCAGCACAAGTTGCATTCTGGGTCAGCTTTTACGGACCGGCCGCTGGGGAGCTGCTCGACGTGCCCATTGCCAGGCACCGTGTAAGTGGCAGACAGCCAGTTGGGGGGAGCCGGGGGCGGGGATTGGGCTGTCTAACAGTGGAACGTGCACTACACATATGCCATTGCAGGCGCCATTGCGGAGCACCTCAAATATTATTACCGGCATTTTCACTGATATTGTCGTGTGCATGAAATGAAACTCGACACTCAGCTGCCTCTCCACCAGCCCCAGCCCAAGACCCTGCACCCTGCTGGCTGACCAAGCGGACACTGGCATTTTAACTGGACATGTATTAAAGCCAACTTCAAGGGAAATGTTGTTAAAAAGTTTGCAGCGCAGCAAATACAAATCTGAGAGCAGCGGCAGTAACTTTAATCCAATTTCAAGTAACCGACTCGCAAAATGAGTTTGTCGCACTTGAATAACAGAGGGGGGAAGGGACTGGGGTTTGCAACAAATAAAATTAAAAGGAAAATAAAGTTGTGCGGTTAAAGCGCTTGCAAAACGATGACATATTTTCGCGTAGTGCTTGTTGCGGCATTAAAAATGCTGCATAATAAAATATTACGCATACGCAGCGTGCAACAAAAATGTCGAAATACAATTACCAGCAACTCAACAATATCTGTGCGTGTATGTGTGTGTGCTTGTGTGCTGTTATGTGAGCATTGCATGGCATAAAAAGAAACATGAACATTTTTTATTTAATTTTACTGCAATTGCAGTTGTTGCTGCTGCTTGCTTTGTTCTGTTTGCAGCGCACTTGAAACTTGTGCGCCGCACGCAGCCGAGCGCTTAATTTGCAACATTTCTTTTGTTACAAGCAGCAGGCGCAACAACATGTCGCTGCCACGCCTTAAAGCGCAGGCAACAGCAGCAACAACAACTCGCACATTGTAAATAAGATGTAATAATTTTAAAAACCGTCAACAGAACCAGGCAAGAACCCAGCTCGAGGTGGATGAAAAACCAGAACCAGAACAGTTGGGGTTGTTGCGACGTTGGCTTAAGTTGCCCCAACTTATTCTCTACGCGCGGGGGTTGCACAAATGTCTGGGCATAACAAAAAAAAAACCTATTAGGCTGCCTGCGACAGTCAGCTCAGCCCCACTTTTGGGTGGGTGTGCTGTGAGGGGGTTGAGTAGGGCTGGTCGGTTGAATTTGTAGCCATCATCATTGGCACAAAAAGCGCAACGTCGCATGTTGCAATTGACAGAAGCAAGACGTAGCTGCAGCTGCAGCTGCAAAAGCAACAAGACAAGCAAAATAATACACACACACAGACATAGGCACATATACGTATACACAAGGAAGCTTGCCTAAGGCGGCTAGCAGCTGCTTCTTACGCTGTTCGCCCAAAAAAACCATTTTGTAATTAAGTGCTGCCGGCAAAGTGTTGCCCCTTGTGTGTGTGTGCGTGTGTGCGTGTGAGTGTGTGTAGTTATTGGTAGCGTGCAATGAGCGTAAACTGCGCGCTGCCCATTTGGCAGCTGCAACAGTCAGCTTTCGTCGTCTGGGCGGCAAGTGGGCGTGGTCATGCGATGGCCCTCAGCCATGTTAGCGCATTTGTTTGTTTACTCAAGTTTGGCCAAAACGTGCAATTTTATGCTGCTGCTGCAATCAGTTTTTTTTTTCAACTTTAAATTAGAAATTGCTCGCACAACAACGGGAATACAGCTAAAAGAAACTTGATACCAGATAGAAAAAGCACGCACTCGCCTCATTACGTGTAGAATAATATCCAAGTGTGCTTAGCGTTTAATTATAAAAGTTTTGTATAACATTTTGCAGCTTGTTTGAATTTATTTCAGGCAATCTTTTTATTTTTTTTCGGGATTTGCAGCTTGGAGCAGGCGGCAGCTTGGCGACCAACAGGTAAATCGATAAACGAAATGACAATTTGATATAAAAAATAAAGAAAAGGAAAAACAGGTGGAAGCGGTATACAGCAAGAGAGTAAAGTGAAAGAAAATAAATTGGAACGGAGCCAAGCATTACAATTGTGCTGCGTTTTCCGAAGCAATTTCAACTGCAATTCACCAAGAGACATTTGCTGGGAAATGGAGCACGATTTAAAGCAACAAGAGGAGCAAGAATTGCCCAACCCTGACAGACTGATTCTGAATGAAGCGGATGCTAAAGATGACGACAGTCGTATTTATAAAATCAAGATCTCGATGCAGCCGGATGGACGCTCGATTTCGCTGACATTGCCGGCGAACACCACATTGCTGGAGCTGAAAACTGATGTCTATTATATAACCGACATACCGGTAAGGCATCAGGTCTGGTCAGGCTGGCCACTGGACGTGGCCATTGACAATGCCACCAATTTGGCCCAGTCGGGCATCGGACGCAGGCACACTTTTGTGGTGCAGAGCACCACACCGCACAACAACTCGCAGTCGAGCAGTGACTTTGAGGCGGATGATAAATATGAGTATTCCGACAGCTCCTCGGATGAATCCCAATCGGACTCCGAGTCTGATTTAAGAGGCTATCAATTATTTTGCTGCGACTCAAAGCCGGCGCCAATCCATTTGATAGCCGACGGAACAATCTGCGAGGCGACCGGCTCCAAGCAGTTTGTGGATAATTACAAGCAACGCTTTGGGGCACCACATCCGGAGTTTCATGTGGGCAGCCTTGAAAGCGCGTTGCAACTGGCCAAGGCTTCCAATCTGGAGAATGAGGTAAATATACTCGCGTTCTGCAGTTGCGAAACTTATTTTGTTGTTGTTTTGTTTATCTTTGCAGCACAAGTTATTCGCCATTTATTTGCATCATGGCGCAAGTATTCTGACAAACATATTTTGCCATCGCCTGCTGAAGGACGAGAGCCTTTTGGAGCTATTGAAGCACAACTTTGTGCTCTATGGCTGGGATCTGACCTGCAAAAGCAACGAAAAACTCTTTCTACTCAGGCTGGGCAAGCACTGCGGTCAGACGGCTGTCGATTTGGCTGCCGGTATGAAACTCGATCAACTGCCAGCCATTCTGATAGTTTCTATGAACTCTTTTATTATTCCCGGCAATATTGGTTTGGATGAACTGCAATTGCGACTGCTGGAGGCTATTGAGCTTAAGGAGTTTTTAATTTAAATAATAAACACAATGTGATTGAATAGTAACATGGCTTTTGAATAAATAATTATAAAGATATGATATATATGATATATATTATAATGTATATTTTATGAATATATATATAGATATATATATATATCTGAGATATATAGCTGTGAGAAATGAGCAAGAAACTGAACGCAGGAACATTTCGCTTACTCAGAGCCTTTTTGTAGCTTAGCGACGCGAGCTTGGCTGCACACACACACACACACACACACTCTACACACACACTTAGATAAACGAGGTAAAAAGTAGCAGCGCGTTTTTTAGTCAGCGCCCTGCGTTTATTTTCAATTTGCTAGCGAATTATATTCACACACACACACAACGACACACCCCCACACACACACACAGCATACCTATTACAGTGCTTTGGCTAAGCCGTTGTTTTTAGTCTTTGGCTATATTTTAAGGTTATGCTGTAGTCGCTCCGGGTGGAGGCAGCTGCTTGTGTCCTTTCAGGTGTTTGGGCCAAATGTTAAGCTGCTTAGCAAAGCGCTGCCAAGCGACATAAATTAAAATGGCCAACGCTTTTTGCTGCATATGCAATCTCACACACACACACACAACTACTTTAACACCTACATTTCGGGCATTTGGCTTGTTTCTCGTTTTGTTCATTTGCGTGGCAAACAAATCGCTCGAGCGGCAACAAATTGAGTTTCTTTATGATGTCCCATTTGCCGTGTGCAGGTGTGCGGATCAGTGTGTACCTGTGTGCGTGCGTGTAGGTGTGTCGGCATTTGGGACAGTTTGTGAAATGATTTTTCATCTTGCCTTTTGGCCCGATGCCGCTGCCATCTGTTTTGGCCCGGTCGAGCAACCCGCCAAGCCGCTGGCAAGTAATTTCTTCTATCAATCACAATTAATTATGTGTATGTGAGTGCGGGTGTGTGTTTGTGTGTGTGTGTGGAGGTGTTGCTTTTAAATGATGTACAGGTACAGGCTGGCACTTTTTCTTATTAAATTAGGCATGCAAAGGTGCACAGCGGGCAGCGCCGGCAGCCGCGACAGCAACAGTGGCGCCATCTTTTGCCGGCGGGCGTAATTTGTAATTTCACGGTGGCAGCGGCCGGCGTTTCTTTGCCTCATTTTCTTGATGTTGCTGCATGTTTTGCCGCTTAAGCAACACTTGAGAATTAATCGTCGAGCAGGCAGCAGCGCAGCCAGAGAAAAAAATTGCATGAAAAACAGTTGCAGCAAGGGGTAGCAGCAAAAAGGTAGCAACAGCGGCAGCGGCAGCCGCAGCAGCGTGTAATGAAGTGAAAATTGTCCTTAAGCGTCAATTTGCAGCAGGAACAGAGTCAGCGGCAGCGGCAGACGCAGCTGAGCTGAGGTCCTTGCTGTTGCGGTTTGCGTTGCGTCCTTATAATTTGATGCTTGGCGATGCGCGATAAATATAATTTGTTGCACGTCATGTGTATTAACTTCTTGCAGACACTGTCTGCGCATCACTGCCAGCTCCAAGAATGTCAACGAGGCGTGGTAACGCCCCTGGGACGAAGCGGCGTATCCATTATGCAGCTATTTACACACGCCCTCGCATACCCAACGGGTGTGCGTGTGCATTTGGGTGTGTGTGTGTGTGTGTGTGTGACACTATGCTGACCACCACGCCAACAATTTGTAATTAAAATTGCATAGCAAAATTGATTATGTGTGTGTATACAATGTTAGTTTTTGTAAGTAATTCCCAGTGCGGCGGCAAAGTGCGGCAAGTGGAAATTTTTAATTAAAAGCAAATGCTTTTAAGTTTAAGTAAATTTTTTCGTGCAACACGCAGCAGCTGTGGCAGTAGCAGTAGCAGTTACTTTAAATGATTCATAACAGCTAAGTATCTCGACTTGGTGGCATGCAATACTTTTATCTACAGTTTGTGGGGCAGCCTTCAATTAGCCAACTGACCGCCAAAAGTTGCTTTCACTTTTCGATCCCCAACCACCGCCTCGCCAAATGTTGCCAAATGCGATTTAGTATCTGTTGCAACTTTTGCATTAGAAAAACTCTCAGCATCTGACGTTGAAATGAATTTATTTTTCAGCTCGTTGCTCGTTGTCCAATCAAAAAGAAAGATTGCAGCCGGATGCAGGCATCAGGGCTTAGCCCCCATCTCTCGACCAACAAAGTGTTAACAAATACGCAGCTTAGTGAGCAAAAACATAAACATTTGTTTATCCAACAATACGTCACGTAAAACAATGAACTATGACCCGCCTATTCCCACGACCCAACTGTCTCACTCTTTCTCTCAAAAAAAAACAAGAGATGAACAAAAACTGTGCGAAAATGCGGAAAAAACGTTGTGCGATTTTCCATGTTTCAATTTTGAATATGCTGCACGTTTTTGTTTTTTTTTTTTGCCTTTCGCTGTTTTTGTTTTATTTTTTTCGGGATTGTGACTACACAACGATAGAGAAAATTGCTGAAAACTGTGAAAACTAGGGTAAGAGTAGGGTAGGGCAGCTCTCTGGGGTTTATAATAGACAATGTAAGAGGAACAAATGAGGTTTGGGCAACCAAATGGACGGCTTTTTCGTGTTTTTGTTGTGTAAATAAACAAATAAATTGCCGTCAAAATTGATTAAAGCAAAACAAGAGCGTAAAGTTAAGTGTAAATGTGAAATAAAAAAAATGTGTAAAACATAATTTGTACACAAAAAAATAAATAAATAAATACAAGTGAAAGTGCATTTGAGCTTGATTGGGTAAAACAGGGTATCAAAGCAAGGTTTGTTGCCTTTATTGATGTGAACCGTGAAGCGAACCGGCGCAAATTGTTGTCGGATTTGGCGCCTTTATTTAAAGTGGCGTTTGATCAAAGCTTGATTGATTTCATTGGCTGAATTATTTGCAATTCGTAGAAAATTGATGGCAATAAAATGGCAGCTACTCATGCGACTGGCATATTAAATAAGCAATTTGTGCGTTGTAGCTGCTCTTTTTTTTTTGTTAAATGCGCCACAAATTGCAACGAATTAAAATTGACGCTTGAGAGGGTCATAATTGAATTGCGCCAGCTAAATTGGAGTTTAATTAATAAACGAAATGCAATTTTCAGCTATAGAAGCAGTCAAAATATGCACACAAGGGCCAAGTCTGGCAGGCAAATTGGCATTTAGCTGAAAACGCACACACATAGAGAGAAGAGAGAGCGGGTGAGGGAGGAAGTGAGAGCAAGTGGGGAAGATGTTACCACCTGTCAAAATGGCAAACTTACGAACAGATTCTCGTTTCGTATGAAATAATGAAAATGTCCAACAAATGAATATGTCACCTCGGGTAAATCGCACAGCAGGTCCGCAAAACAGTCACAAGAACTCACACAGATGGCTTCATTTCTGACCCCGGGCCAAAGGTAATTGCAATGTGAAAACAACAACAACAACAGCTTTGCCAGATATTTGAGATACACAAATATTATATGAACACACGTGTGTGTGCACTCAGCCAAAGCAACTAAGCCAATGGCAAACAATTTGTATACATATTATTTTATTATAGTCTATATTAAAATTAAAAAAATGAAATGAATAAAAAATATCTTCAAATCGAACAGGCGAAGAATAAAGTACTGAACATTTACCCAACATTGCCAACATTTCAACTATATAAAGGGCTCGGATATTTCTTTGAGTGTATTGCTATACACATGTGTAAGACGTGTTTTAGTGCTAAGTTTATATATTCTGCAATTTCATGAATTTATAAAGATTTCTTGTGTACTTAGTTTGCATGTGAGCTATAAGACAAAAAGCCTTTATTTTTGCAGACACTGAGAGAATGACAAATGTCTCTTTATGTTGTAGTTACGCACTCCTACACCCCCATCCCCACACACACACACATACACGTATATCGGTTAGCTTCGGAATGATCTTCAATTTGTAATACGTTAAAAGGACTAGCGCATAAACATAGCTGGCAGCTGGAGATTGAAGCCATTGAGTCAGAGCTGTCACTTAGAGGCGAACGGAAATGCCTGGCCAAACGGAAGTCCAATACCTCGACTAGACCAGGCACGGACCTTGCTTGAGTGTGGCAACTGGCCTCTGTCTCCGTCTCTCTTTCTTTCTCGGCATGTGGCATGTTGGCCTTTGGCCATGCCAGTGACATTTACTGTACACTTCAGCTCACTTGATGCTCGACTGAATGATTGATGCGCTTTATTCGCATTCACAAAAGAAAAAAAAAAGCAAAGGCAACAAAAAAAAAATACTTGATTTTCAAATCACATTCGTGAATATCCATCCCCACAGACGACCATGCGGTCAACGACTGTGGAATTGACTGACATTAATGCTAAAGCCAACATTATGCCACGGAATGGCATGTAACCAACACCAACAACCAACACCAGTCGCAGTCGCCGTCAAGTTGCCACATTGCTGCTCCTGTTGCCGCATGTCGAGCGACAAATTTGAAAATGACAAAATGCCCGTCGGAAAAAGCGCGAGCGAGACAACAGCAGGGAGGTTCACCCGCTTTGTCCTATCTATCGTATTGGCCAACAAAACCGGAGCCAAGATAATTGAATTTTTTTTGGCATTTTAGTGTGCTGGCTGATGCTTTGAGTTGTCATAATTGAGTTTGAGCCACCAATTGCAGCACCAGCACCGCACCGCAGCAACTGGAATGTGAGTGCATAAATATGAAGCTTGGTCGCAGCTTAATGCTGCCAATTCTCAAAATGCAGGTATCGAGTACGCCTGGGCACAGGCATCGGGTATGGCAGGGACAAAAATTGCAAAATGAAATTTTAATTAAATTTTGATATCCGTTTTAGTCGAATCGGAATGAGTTCAGCTCTACATGTCTGAATCGTGTTGTTCTCAGTTATCAGCTTGGGGTCATATGGCTGTGACACATACGCTGGGAGACACACAACAACAACAACAACAACACACACACACTCACAACCACATATACAAACATGCAATACAGTCATAAACACACACAGTTGGGGGCATATTAAAAGTAGATTTCAATTGAAAATGCGAACTAACAGCTCGTTGGGCAGGGCGAGAGAAAGGGAA